CTATACTATAAAGAGTACTATCTATACTCTATAGAGTTGTGATTATTCAGAATATCTCTATAATAAATATGGTGTCATCCGAAGAAGAGCCTGATCTTCATTTTAGCGCGCCCCCCCACACATAACTTGTGCCATGTGGCGTTGTAGTGGGTACTAGCAAAGTAAGCACACTATCATCCTCTAAGGCACTGCGAAACGGCAAAGGTTGCCGACCCCTGTCTTATCTGGGTGCCAAATATCTGTCCTGGGGATGCCCTGTAACCTTTGCCCTGTGAAACGATGTCACATTTTAGGGCCTATCCAAGTGTCAGATGTACATGCTTTAACTATTTGCGCAGGCATATTACCCCGAATAAGTATCTCAAACGCATCTAGCGAAGCTTATATGTCGTCGCAAACCTTCGGCTGTTATTCTCTCTTAAGTATAGCATCATTCTTCGTAGATGAGCCACGTCAGCCACACTAAGTGTATCACTTACTTAGTGGTGCTGCGCGATTTACCTGTGTACATAAAGACGTACTGCACGCTCCTTTATTGCTTACTTCTTACCACTATTCATTTTTCAAGTCTTGCTTCTCACGCTGAATTCATAGATACCTTAGGACTTTGTCTTCGTCCATTCCAACTGTACCTTCCAATCATGTCCGCATTTGCAGCCATTCTGTCTCTGCGTCTTTCACAGGGTATATTCACCGTACTTAATATTGGTCTATCTAGCTACTGTATGTTGCCACAAGAATTTCCTAGCACTACATGATTTCTAACTTGGGGAATCTGGACAGTGGTGCACGAACTAGTCGATGTGACTAGCGACGTGACTGTCGGGCTTGTTGCGGCATGTGTCTCTGCTATGGGCATATTTTGTGCTCCTAGTACGAGCAAAGTTATGTCAACAAGAGGTAAAACTCTCCCGAGCATGGAGATTGATTTATGCTTAATACTTACAGGGTCAAATCTCTACTTTGCGTTTGCTGTAGACTGGGTTGTGAGCATTTTCAACTTGATTGCACTCATCTACCTTGGGAAATTTGTTACCAGCTCATCCTTCTGTCAAGAGAAGATATGCACAGTCGCCAAGCTGAATACTGTGTTAACTGGATTGAATTTTTCCAACTGGGCAGCTACAGCGACGTATATTGGTATTCAGATATCCAAGCCGTGGACAAAAGGTACTGAGCCTGTCCCAGAGATGGGGAAAATCCAGCTTTAGGGCTTGTTTAGCATTCATTCTACATCAGGCTAAGCTCTGTAGATGTCGATGATAATAGCGAGGGGGTTTGAATAAGCTCTAGCTATTTTATGTTAGTTGTATGTACCTGACTTTATCTGTACATCTAACAGTTAGACGATTAATGACCTCTTATGTTAATGAGTATACCGTCTTTGCATTAATGAAGTGAGCCTGCTTATAAGATCGCGTATAGCAGAAAGCTGAAATTACTACACTATAGGACCTGATAACTAGAATAAAACTTAGCTTTTGTTGGAGATAAGCTATTCAGTTGTTCTCCGACCTTACTCAACAAACGTTACCCTGAACCAAA